CTCCTTTTATCGGCATAATTCTTTTGTCGGTCCTGGGCTGCCTTGATTCTAGCTCTTATTTTATCAACCGCTCGACTAGTTTCTTCAATTATTTCGGGTTCTAGAACTCTTCTTTCACCTACTTCATCCCAATAAAGGGGAGCTCTACATCTTCTGCCATAAAGGGCTTCGTAAGGTGCCATCTTTATCATAGCTTGGTAGCTATTATTATAGGCAAACTCTACCAGTGGCACATAGTTTTCCCAACTGCCCCCTAAGTCAAGGACGCATGCACGCAGCATATCCTCTAAAGTTTGTATAGTCCTCTCCGATTGCCCATCAGTTTGTGGATGAAAGGTTGTGCTGAAGTTTAACTTGGTTCCCATAGCCTCTTGCAAACTTTTCCAAAATTTTGAGGTAAATCTTGGATCTCTATCCGATACAATTGAAGCTGGGATACCGTGCAAACGGATGACCTCTTTGATGTATAATCGCGCGTATTGATCCATACTAAAATTCATTCTTACAGGTAGAAAATGAGCTGATTTTGTTAACCGATCCACTATAACCCACATAGCATCATTTCCCCTGGCTAATTTTGGAAAACCCATAACAAAATCCATAGTTATATGTTCCCATTTCCATTGTAGAATTGTTAATGGTTCCAACAATCCAGATGGCCTTTGATGTTCAGCTCTCACTTGTTGACAAGTCATGCATCTCTTGACAAAAAGACCTATGCATCGTTTCATTTTTCTCCACCAAAACATGCTCCTTAGATCACGATACATTTTTGTACCTCCTGGATGGGCAGTATATGGAGTTAAGTGTACTTCTTCAAGAATTTCTTTCCTCAATCCCTCATCTTTCGGCACACACAACCTCCCCTTAAAGAGTAAGGCTTTATCACTACCTAATTCAAAGTCCTTTCGCTTGCTAGTACCAACTTCGGATTTGATCTTTTGCAGGAAAGGGTCACCATCCTGTGCTGCTCTTATTCGATCTCTAAGTGTTGGTCGAATCGTTAGAGCCGCTATCCTGGCACTAGTTTGGGTTGGTGGAACAATTACTTCTAGATGTAAGTTGTCGAAATCCTTTAACAACTGGTCCTGCATAGTGATTTGTACTGCTAATTGTCCCACTGCCTTTCGGCTAAGAGCATCAGCTACTACATTAGTTTTACCAGGATGGTAATGGATAGTGCAATCATAATCCTTTACTAGCTCTAGCCATCTCCTCTGTCTCATATTTAATTCTTTTTGGGTGAAAAAATACTTCAAAGTCTTATGATCGGTATAAATGTCACACTTATTTCCATACAAGTAATGACGCCATATTTTGAGGGCATGAACTACCGCAGCCAATTCTAGATCATGGGTTGGGTAGTTTTGCTCATATTGTTTCAATTGTCTGGAAGCATAGGCTATCACCTTTCCTTTCTGCATCAGGACACATCCTATGCCCTGTTTCGAGGCATCACTATATATAACGAATCCTTCTGGTCCGTCAGGTATTGTTAACACTGGAGCTGTGATTAGTCTTTGTTTCAGCTCTTGGAAACTTTCTTCACATTTCTCTGTCCATTGAAATTTTATCCCCTTTCGAGTCAATTGGGTCAATGGTCCTGCTATTTTAGAAAATCCCTCGATAAATCTCCTATAGTAACCAGCCAATCCCAAGAAACTACGTATTTCTCTAACATTGGTTGGTCTTACCCAATTATTTACTGC